CTTATTTTATTGTTGTTACTCTCTCTTTATGTAGTTTGCCATACATTGTACCATGTGCAATCGTCGTGCAATAAAGTTCTTCTATAATGAGATTTCAGTTCACACATTCTTTTAAAACAGAAACCTGTCCACTGACCTTACAAATGCCCTTGACAAAAGTCTGCACCAGCAGACCCTGCATGGTGATTTTGTTAGCCAGCTGTCCAATGATGACATACGAGGCAGCCTTGTAGTCCAGAATAGCCCGGGACTTCAGGCCCTTTAGGACGTAGGGCAGCAGTTTGGTCACCATGTTCTCTTTGATGGTTTCCGTGACCTCCAGTGCCCCCAGAATGGTGGTGGCGTAGAAACTGACGAGGGCGCGCATGGGGGAGGGCGCAGAGGAGTCCTGGGAGGAGTGGAGCTGGATGGAACAGCAAAAAAAATATTTTTGCAAGTTATCTGGCACGTATGACCAGCTACAACAGTCAATTGTCTCTGACGTCACGTTCCAAGACTAGAGGGGTCTGTTCCGTGAAAAAGGTTAATGGAGTTATCTGGAAATTTGGGGTATAAGTCCCATTTCAATCTGTAGTCTAAGTGTTGGAAGTTAAAGCTTAGTCTTTATTTCATAATGACATGTACCAGCACAGGTGAACTTTCATGCTAAATTTTTGATTATGTTTGGTTTGATTTATTTACATCTCCATTAGTGAATATGATCACTAGTCTTCCTAGAATCCATTAATACAGTATATATACAATGTAATACAAAATATAACAACGCAATGTAATGAAATTACACAACACAAACAGAAGACTAACATACATGTAAACTGAACTGAAAATCACATTAAACACATTCCCAACTAAAAGGAGAAATTCTCCATACACTATGTGCAAAATGCACACACCTATGTGCAAAGTGCACATACCTATGTGCAAAATGCACATACCTATGTGCAAAGTGCACACACCTATGTGCAAAGTGCACACAGGTATGTGCAAAGTGCACACACTATGTGCAAAGTGCACACACCTATGTGCAAAGTGCACACACCTATGTGCAAAGTGCACACACTATGTGCAAAGTGCACACACTATGTGCAAAGTGCACACAGCTATGTGCAAAGTGTACATAGGTGCATATATACTATATGTGCAAACTACCTATACTACAAACAGACATCACTTTAATTCCGGACTGACTCTAATTCCGGACGACCTTTCACCATTAAGACATTATTATACTAGAGAGGCCGACATTTGCTTGGGAGCAAAATAAATTAATACAGCATATTTCAGTCCATCTCCCTCCCACGCAAAAGTGGACTATTCCAAACTTACCCCAGTGTAAAACTAGCCTGGGTACCATCCCCAGTAGTATTCGCACGCTCTATACATGTAACTGGGTCTTGACTTGAACACATATGTAGCGTCTGGAGTCTGAATATTCGTTCAGATTTTGAACGAGCGCGCTGATTGGTCCTACTCGTCTAAGCCCTTTTTGGGGTATGTACATATTAGGTAAGGGCAGTTCGGACGTCCGAACGGCGACGTTAGCGTCCGTCCGAACGCCTTATCATCAACATGTCCGACGGCGAACCGAACGCTAGAGCGCACATGATAATTGATATAGCCGTAGTCAGTCTTTCCGCGATAAATCATCATGGCTGACGCACAAGCCGCTCAGCTCACGGAGGTTGATGTTGACCTCGCAATCACGTCCGTTTTGGACGATTTAGACAGAATATCGTCGCTCAAAAATGAGCAAAAAGATGCATTGAATAATTTTGTTCGTGATGTTTTGGGCGTCCTACCGGTAAAAAAAAGAACGCACCGAGAAAAGGAACACTCGCGCAAAGATCTGTGCCTACAAAACAACAAACATCACTTGAATAATGCAGGCGCGCCATTGGCCGTCGCCTCTGAGGCTCAGCCAATCAAATGAAGCCCCGCTGCACGGGCTAGCTCATTACGTGACGTCATCACCAATCGTTTTATATGTGATCAAGTCCAGACCCAGTTATAGAGCTGGCGAATATACTACTGGGGATGGCACCCAGGCTAGTGTAAAACTGGCAAGGATTCTCAAATAAATGAATTATATAGTAGCTATGTAATTGAGAACAAAGATGCAAGAACAAGCACATTGAATCTCGAAAGCTTTACTAGTCTTATTACTGGTATGCAAATACTAACAATGATGAGATTTGATACATTTTGAAGGTCTTAGGCACATAAAATTGAATGTGTGGGTCATTCCGCACGACTTACGTGCAATGTGACCTCAGGTAACCCGCAATGGAACACGTGTTCCATGGCCAACGGCAGATGGAACAGGCCATTCTTTAGATAGAACATGGAACGGGTATAGCACTTTTGGCCCTTTTTTTGCTGAAAATAGCCATTAAAGTCCCCCAAATGAGTCATTTGGAAGTGGTGTATGCCAAATATGTGACTGCTATTCTGTAGACACATGTTCAAGGTACCCTTGTACCGAATTTCAGATCATTTGGTTGTAAAACCAGGGCTTAGGATCCAAAAATCCATTTTTTGGCGAAAAATGCCCTAAAAAACCTTCATAAAAATTTTTCAAAGGCATGTATCAAAAAAATGAAAAAAACGCCTGGGGGTATTCGCCCACTCTACCTCCATCCCAAATTTCAAGTCATTTGGCTGAATGATGGCGGAGTTGAATCCCTTTGACTGTGTGGCAGGAGGAGGAGAAGAAGGAGGAGGAGGAGAAGAAACATCAGAGAACACAATATATTTCATCCATACCATGGTATGGACTGAAATATAATTACTCGCTGAAAGTTGCGTAGGTATCATTGATACACTGTAGGTCCCCTGGGACTAGGTCAGCATTCGGATTCAGAATTCTGCGCAGAATTCTGCATTCAGGTGCAGAATTCTGCAACCCAAATGCAGAATTCTCCATCCAAATGCAAAATATGAAGGAATTTGCGATGCCTTATTTATTTTATGATGTTAGAGAGTGGACTCACACTCGTCCTACATCCTACATTGTATGATTGTGTTTGCTATCCCTGTGCTGCAAAAGCATACAAGACGGGACATTCTGCCAAGTACCTTCCAAAAGCACAAAAGAGTTTACAGATGGCACACACAATTCAGGCACAAGTACTTTCAGGTTATTCAGGTCACAATATTTCATGCTGATGGTCATTGTCAGACTGAAGCTTGAGTTCTTGTACACGTGGCGTGATGTTGTGCTCGGTGCTCAGTGATGGCGGCCAGAGATGACTGGGTACAAGGCAGAAGTAGTTGGCCGGCAAGCTGGCTTTGTTGTTGCAGCATGTTGACGATCGGGGTCGATTTGCAGCAGGTGGGCGAGGCAGGCGGTTGTAGGCGTGGTAGCGCAGCTTGAGCAGCGATCAGGCAGGTGGATTCATTGCCGGGCGATTCAGGAGGCATGATAAAACAATGCGGGTTGCGAGAGGTCCGGCTGCTCCCCACCAAATGTAGGGATGCAAGAGAAGAGGCGATGGAGAGACATTGTACTCTGTGGTGGCTATGGACACTGTTTTCCGCTAGAGTACATTGCTACAAAACTGATTTCCTCTGATCCGAATCAAAAGTAATCCTGCTGCACGTCCTTGAGATATTCCAGCTATACCTAGTAAATGCGCAGTTGATTGACTCATAGGGGTGAATATTCTGTAGCAGTAAAGAAAGGGAATCTTAATATGTTTAGATACATTGTACATCCAGAGTCTACCTAAGTGTACTTGAAAGTACACTCTGGGCTGATGCTTGTGTATTGGATTCGACCCTTGTGCATACTTTCAAATCTTAGATTGCTACTGGCCTGAGCATTGATTAGTTATGGTCCCACCCACATGATTGTTAAAACAAACAAACAAATCCTTAGGGCTGGCCCACACTCCTAGAAAATCTTCATTAGTCACACCAGGGCTCCTATCAAATCTGGCACACATGTACATGCATGGTATGTATTTGCCTGCTAAGTACCTTGATGACAGGTGTCCTGTCCCTGTGTAACACTAACTCTCATTGGAGCTTCTCCCAGCAGCAGGAGTCAGGCTACCCTACCAAACCCAGCTGTGACACCCAGTCAAGCAACCCCCAACTTGACAGAATTACATTTATAGGTCATACAGAAAGACCTCAGCACTTGTATATGTATACAAAAATGTAGAATTATCTCTTTTTAGTGATCTTGTCCAACCATGGTGGTGTAGAACTCTCAGCTCTCAGTCTTGGGAATTGAAGCATATGGCATCTCAAGGGAGATTGTGTTGCATTGGTGGCTGGTATCTACTATAGTCTAGGCTAGTTCTATTGGTGGACTTAGTCAAAGAGAGGCCACTGGGCCTTGCTTTTGAAGGCTTGATATGACTCCATGTACCTTTGTTAAGGATATTGAACATGTAGATTCTTCTATCAAAGTCTGATAAAATGATACAAGGATTAAGTTGCATGAATTAAACTTGCCATTATATAAAGTACTACAATAGTCTAGTAGTGACTGCTTATAGTCAGTGTCCTCAAATCATTTTTTCCAGCATTCCTCCATGAACAGAGGCCCTCTAACAAAACAAAAGGTTGCCCCTCAGAGGGGGAATTGGGGTCAGCTGAATGACCTAAGAAGGTTTGTAGGCCTGAGCCGGTAACCCATGAAATGCATTCCTGAGAAGGCTTGCTCAAATTATTTTGTTCTACTTCTAGACTGAAGGAAAATAACCAAAAGACCTGAGAAAGTACTGTCATATCCTAATTCTAGATGTACAGATGGATTATATCACACACACACAGACATGCACACATGCACAGAGATTCTTTGCTACCTTGTAAGATGAAAGGGTAAATACATGTATATGATTTCTGATAGAAAGTTGAACAAATTTGCTTTATCAATCTGGTATTCAATCCAATGAGCCATTTGTATTAGCCTCTACCAGGCTCCTCGGATCGCTGGAAAAATAGTAGAAATTGGCCGAAATAAAGGGATACTAAGTATACCAGAGACGATCCAGGGTCGCAAATTGGAGCTTCTATGGCCCTGGATCTTCTCTGGTATACTATCCCTTTATTTCGGCCAATTTCTACTATTTTTCCAGCAATCCGCGGAGCCTGGTAGAGGCTAATTTGTATGGCCATGCTTCAGTTTTCAATGATCAACTTAACACAGAGCTGATAACCTTGCAAAACAGTGTTTCCTACAAGCATGCACTCATAAATGTAAAAACAGAAAAGATTACAGCTTAGATCAGAATAGCATTGAAAATTCCTTTCTGTTGCAGTATGACAATCTGCTGAAAAATCCATCTGTATCCTGTTACGTGCACATCTTTCTGTTTCATGAACAAATTAAAAAAAAAGAAATTGCATTGATGAATTTGCTAATTTGATTACGCCGTGGCTAATGACACACCA